TCTCTCTCTCTCTCTCTCTCTCTCTCTCTCTCTCTCTCTCTCTCTCTCTCTCTCTCTCTCTCTCTCACACACACACACACACACACACACACTCACTCACTCACTCACTCACTCACTCACTCACTCACTCACTGGAGCCCTGCTTGTAATAGTGAAAGACTTCAAATGATGCAGTATACGTTCCATCCAGCTTCCCTGCATTTACAGGTTCCCAAACCTGATCTGAACTGTGATCTCTGGCTGGCAGTACTGTAACTGTCCCCTCGACTTTGTTACTACCTGCTCTCCCCATTCCCTAACATTCCCATACTGCCTGGTAAGTAAGCACTTGCGTGCTTTTGATTTGATTAAATGTAGTATTTATCTTTTCTTTTTTGTGTTGTTTCTTTTACTAGAAAATGCGTCAGATGCAGATTTGTGGCTTCTGAACAGCTGTACTGTGAAAAACCCGGCTGAAGACCACTTCCGAAACTCAATCAAGTAAGGAGGAGGTCCCCATGCTTTTCTTTTCAGATAACCAAGGGAGGAGCTAGTATCAGCCAGTATTATCTCAGAAGCCTTTACTTTTAGCAAGCATGTAGTTATTTGTGTGCATGTGCCACAGTGTGCACACGGAGGCCCGAGGACAGTCCCTGGAGTCAGTTCTCTCCTACTGTGAGTGAGAGTCCTTGGGGTTGAGTTCAGGCTGTCAGTCTTGGTGGCAAGTGCCTTACCCCTCTGCGTCCTCTCACTGTCTCCAGATGAGCTTTTGAAAGATTTCTTATATTACTCTGATTTCTCTTCAGCTCATATAAATCTTTTACCTTTTACTGAATGATTCCTCATATTATTAAATATTTGAGTATATAACAAAAAGTTTGAGTTAGACTTTAAATAGTTTTTAAATAAAAACACTTTATTCTAATTAACTCACAAATAAAAACATCCCAGCTGGATTAAGGAAGTCACTGAAACGTTATCCAGCGGGACTTTTAAGCTGCTAATTTTTTTGGGGGGGGGTTTAATCTAATGAACAGTGTTTTACTAAAGAGTTTTATAATGCATTTTGAACATTTGTGAAGTTAATTTGTCTGGTCTGTGTGTTCTTCTCAGAGGATGCAGGCATTTCTGGTGAAATTGCTTGCCATAGCCATTTTTGCCTCCCGTTAGCCATGCTCTCAGTGGTGCGGCGTGTGCCAGGAGCTCCAGTAGGATAACTGGTACATGAGTCCTTGCTGTTTAGGTTGTTTCCTCACTTTGTCCTTAGAAAGCTCATTGTATAAATTATTTCCTCCTAGGCTTTCAGCCTCTCTGACTCCGTTGGCTCATTTCCATTGCTGTTTAACACACTCAGCTCTAATCAGTCCCAGATGTGTTACCTAGTTTCCATTGCCTTGACAGCCAGGCCTTTTCTTAGCTTTGCTTCTATTATTTAGTTATTAAATATTTATTTTAAATCTATATGTATGCACTTGTGTGTGCCGTGTATGCCAGGTACGTGCAGGTGAGAGGCCAAGGTGACAGTTTAACTCAAAAGGAACAAAAATTTTTGTGTCACAGCAGAGGTAGCAAGGCTGGATGGAGCAGGGATGGAGGGCTACCTCCAGGAGTAGAGCAGATCTAAACCATAGCAGAGGATGCTGCTGTTCGTTTCCAGAAACTTCTCTCTCTCTCTCTCTCTCTCTCTCTCTCTCTCTCTCTCTCTCTCTCTCTCTCAGTGAGAAATCTGTCATATTCACATTGTCTATAGGACAGTTAAAATTTATACAAAACAATTTAGCACTACTGAGGGCCACGCTTGCAGTCTGGAGAAGATGGTCTGTGATACAGATTAGTCTATCTTCAGATATAGCTCAGCAGTAGAGCATGTGTGAGAAGAGTCCTGAGTTCACCCTACAGCGTCACCAGAACAACACACAGGGCAGACCCCCGCCCCCAAAAAAATACATAAGGAAAGATTGAAAGGAAAAGAGGAAAGAAAACCCCCATGCAATTTTCCCTGATGGTTTTGCTATAGACTCTGTAAGCAGTGCAGTTCTTTGGTGAACAAGCCTCAATGTCAGTGTGACACGTGGTGAAGCTGCTGCACTAATCCCAGAAGGAAACGTGTTCTTAGAGCTCTGCAGAGCTAGGAGCTACAAGCAGAGCTCCCTTAATGGACTATTCTTCTTGATTGAAAGAAAAATGAAAAATAGTGTTTTATATGATTGAGTATTTATTATGGCTCTAAAGGCTTTTGATCCTTCTATACCAGGTGTTACTAAAGTAACACTTCAACTAATGTATGATTTGTTTCCAGAGTAAATATAAAATCAGGTAACATATCAAAAGCAATTTACACTGAGAACCTATCAGGTACAAGTGACATGTATATACATGAAGACTTTTGTCAAGTGTTTCACTTTATGTTCATGCCTTCCTACTTATTGCCATCTCCTAACAAGAAAAGATAAATATGTCCAATTTGTGACCCTTATATAGTCATACATTATTACATGTATGTAATAAATATGTAATTACTATGGTACACATTTATCTGCCCACATCCTGTGGATCCATCTCTTGTATGTATTCTGTGTTACTTTATGCTTTTCAATAGAATGAGATACTTGTCCATCCTGTGGTGGCTAGTCCTTTCTATTAGACATCAAAGTCTTTTTTCTTCCTTGGATCACTTATCCATAGCAATTGCTTTGCTTTATCAGTACTTACAAATAAATTCCCTCTGGCGTGGGCATAGAACCCGCTCTGCCACTGAGCTCCACCGCAGGGCTTGGAGCTTGCCGTGCACGTGCTCTGGCCTGCCACTCCTTCTTACTCGTCACGTCTCTGAGCGTCTGCTTTTGTTCCTTTCCAGTGTATTCTTGGTGTCTAGTCACTGTTTGCCTTTCATTATCTACTGTCCGTCACTTCATTTTGCCTCTTGAACCATGAGTTAGAACCATCCTCCTCATTATAAAAGGATAACAGGAACAAAGGTGAGCGACAGGGTTTGTGTTTTTCATATGATTGATACAAGTCTCATTTATGATCCAGCAGTTGTGTGTGACGACAGCTGTGCTCTCGCTCTTTCTTTAATGTTCCTGAGGTTTTATGGTAGATCATTGATCAGGTTGATGAAGTCATAGCAGCTTTACCTAACAAAAATAGAAGTGAATCTGACTTTCTGGACTGGCCTTGAACTTTGAACTCTTGTTATTGGCTGAAACAGTTCAGATAAAAACTGCTAGGGGGCCTGTGTTTCATGATGCTGCCTGGTGGATCATTCTGTTCCTTCTTGAGCATCTCAGTACCCAGTTACTGTTTGATTCATTATTCCACTGTGGTTTAAACAATATGATCTTTAACTTGAGAAACCCTTGAGTAAATGAAAAAGATCAAAAGTTTGAAAAAAATGGTCTTAATGAGAGTATCAAATGAGCAAAGCCTCTGGCTTCTGCTTTTTCAGAAGTGTGGGGTCTTTCTCGTGCCACCAAAAGGAGGTCACGTAGAGGCTGGTAAAAATAAACACAGCGTGTGTGTTCCATGTAAAGACAGGAAGAGCAGCTAGCATGCTTTGATCATGGACTGATGACCTCTGTTTGACCTTGTACATTATTTTACCCAAATGGGCACTGTGGTCACTCAATAAAGCAGACAGACAAGAGTCATTCCATTTTGAACCACCCTTGCTCAGAGTAACATATGATAATGCTGACAGGATGGGTTAGATAGCCAAAGGAAATGACTCGCATGAATAGTTAAAATATATATATATATAGAGAGAGAGTTAAAATATATATATATATATATATATATATATATATATATAGAGAGAGAGAGAGAGAGAGAGAGGGACACTGCAGGAAAGGTGGGCCTGAAGTACTGGCTACCTGCTTTGTGTGATGTCTTTTCTCTACAGGGAATCCCTTGTACAATGTTTTGCTGAGCAGAGTAACAAATGGCTTTACTCTCAACCCTACTGTGGAAATATTGTTTGTTTTACGTGGATTTATCTCTGAGTTCTTTGTACATTGCCAGAGGAACAAGAGTACTATTTCAGCCAAAATACATGAAGTAAATTGATTCAAAGAATAAGCTGAGCTGCTAGGAATAGACAAGGGCTTGTCCTCTCAATTATTAATCACCCTGGTTAAAAGAAAGTGAAGATCTCAACCGATTATGTTGTTAATTAGCTTCACTAATATTTTTAACTATAATTGCCTTGGTTAATTTTAATTTTCATTTAATTTAAATGAAAAAATTTGATAGAAAGTAAAAGCACACTGGGCCTCATTTGACTTTTTGTAAGAAACTGGTTAGCTAATTCACATTGTTTTCACACACATGCACGTAAGCGCGCGCGCACACACACACACACACACACACGAGGAGGAAGGAAGGGGGAAGAATGTTTGTGTGAGAATGTGGGCATGCGCAGACTACAGCATGCTTGTAGAGGTCAGAGGACAGCTTTCAACTGCCTGTCCTTGTCTTGCCACATTGTTGGGGACAGGGTGTCCTTACCTGTGCTTAAGCTAGGTTGGCCTCTGTAACTTTCTTGCCCCTAGCTCTCATTTCCTATAGTTGCAGCAGGGATACAGGTGCTTGCACTTCTGCATGGCTTCTAGGGACCCGACCCTAGATCACTAGGCCTGAGCATAAGCATTTTTACTCACTGAGCCATCTCCCCAGCCCACATTTGGGTTTCACTTACCTGCTTGAGTGGCTTGACCTGATCTCAGTTTTATGTTGTCTGAAGGGTCAGGAGCAGGTGGGACGCATCCCTGTGCAATCTTGTTGCTTCACCTGTTGTTGCTCACCAGTTTTTTGTGATGAAGTCAGTTGGGGTGTTGGCCTGTGGTGCTTTACACATTGTCTATTAAGGCAATGCCTTCTCTACTGCTCTGCTCACTGTGGGTCGCTCTCCCATTCTCCACCCATTTCCATCATTTGGGGACTGCAGCAGACTGGCTCCTTCCGTGTCTTTTTCAGACCCTACCTTTTTTTCCGCTTTCTGGACTAGTGTGTTCTTGAACATTTCCATGTCGGTGACCACAGTTACCTGAGTTCACCATACCAGGGTCTCCAGTTGTCCACCATGCTCCAGCCTTTAATCCGTCTGCCTCAGCTTCATGGAACATTGGGTGTAGTGATAGGAGTGGCAGGGCTGCGTTCCCGGCACCCGGCCGCCCGCATGGCTAGCTTTACCTAAAATAATTACATGGAAACTGTATTCTTTTAAACACTGCCTGGCCCATTAGTTCCAAGCCTCTTATTGGCTAGCTCTTACATATCGATCTAACCCATTTCTAATATCCCTGTAACACCACAAGGTGTCTTACCAGGGAAGATCCTACCTCTGTGTCCGGTAGGAGTAGGAGAATCATGGCGACTCCTTGACTAAGCTTCTTTCTCCCAGCATTCTGTTCAGTTTACTCCACCCACCTAAGGGTTGGCCTATCAAGGGGCCTAGGCAGTTTCTTTATTAATAAGAAATCACTCCCACATCAATTGGGTAC